GCACTGGACCACTAATACACTGGGCATTGAACCTGTGGATTTCAGGCAAGCACTGGACCACTAATACACTGGGCATTGAACCTGTGGATGCCAGGAAGCACTGGACCACTAATACACTGGTCATTGAGCCTATGGATGCCAGGCAAGCACTGGACCACTAATACACTGGGTATTGAACCTATGGATGCCAGGCAAGTACTGGACCACTATGCTGTATCTCTAGTTCCTTTATACTTTTTGCTTTGAGAAGGGTCAATATTGTTCAGGCTGGCCTATAACTCCCAAGACTCCCATGTCACTCTCACAAGTGTGCCTGACTCTAAAGAGTGCATTTGAGTATTTGATACTTTTTTCCTTTTGCAGTGGCAGGGATGAACCCAGGGCCTCGTGGATGCTGAGCAAGTCTTCTACTACTGAGCTACACCTCAGACCCAACGTCTGCTATCAGAAGGGGGTGGGGGTGGGTCTCTTCCAGGAAGAATGCTACCTGCTTACAGCAGAACACTCCCTCATGGTGGCATCCTCTTTGTTTTCTTTTCTCCTAAGGCCAGCAAGGGTGCTTTTCTTAGTCTTTTGCATTTAAGACACAAAACCCCCAGTGTGTCCTCCCCACTCTGTGCCAGAAGCAAGGCAGCATGTTGTGTAGCTGGCTCTCTACCCCCAGGCTTACTGTCCTCTAGTCCTTTCTCATCACCTACCCAGCCCAGCCTCTTTCCGGAGCACCCTCAAGTCTGCCCAGTGTTCATGGTTCCAGTGGGCCAGCTCTGACTCACCTCAAACGGTGAGTTAGACCATCTGCATTTACAGTGGGCAGCAAAAGGAGACTCTTCAGGAGCTGAGGTAGCAACCCAAAGCAGATGTTGAAAGTTCCCTCGGGACAGATGCTCGGGGCAACTGGCCTAAGGGAATGGCACTCTGATACTCTACATCCGGGAAGGATGAAGTGAGAGGAACAGGAGAGGCAGAGTAAGCGGAAGTGGCTAGAGATGGGCACGCGAGAGTACATCTTACAGCATTAAAACCCCCAAGACTCCAGCTTCGGAGAGGAAATGAGTCACTTGGATTTCACTATCAGATATGGTGCACAAGATGAGAAATTCTGATAAGTTTCCTGAATCAATTTGATTCCATTCTGGCTCCACCTCTACCCCCCACCCCCACCCCTTCTCCCTTACCCCCATGGGAACCTCAGCCCCAACAGCCTGTCACCAACTCACAGGCTCCAAGGCACAGTAAAAGATCTGCATGAGGATGAGGCAGGGCCCTTCCTGTCAGGGTTAAAAATCCACTGGAGATTTTCACAGCCAGGAGACAGCACAGGCCAATTAAAGTCCAACCCCCAAATTCTCTTCTGGCACCCATGCCTTGATTCATGTTCGTATAGTCCAATTTTTGTGCTTAGAGTTTTAAAAAGCTCACAAGCGAATTACATGGATTCATTTATGCTGAAAGAACCCTCATCCCAGTCCTAGGGCAACAAGACAGGCATCTTCTTCTCCATCCAGCTCTTACAGTCTTGTGCACCAACCTACTCCAGACACGGAGACTGCCCTTGCAGAGAGCTGAGTGATTCTACCACCCTGGAAGACACTCAGTAACAACTCACATCTCCAACTGCCTGTGCTTCGCGTACATGATCTCTATCTCTATTTCCATCTCAGTTTTACAGAGGTAGAAATAAGTTCTTGCCTGGGGAGATATCTCTTTTGGTAAAGATAGCTCTTTTGGCTGCTGCACAAGCAGGAGAAGCTAAATTCAATCCCCAACACTGATGCAAAAGATTCGGGCATGGCTGTGCAAGCCGGTTAATCCCAGCATGGGGATGGCAGAGGCAGGAAGATTTCTGGAGCTCCTTAGCCAGCTGCATCCATGAGCTCCAGGTTGAATGGGAAAATCTTGTCTTGAAAAATAAGGTGGAGAGGGGTGCTGTGATGTCTCATCCAGAGCAGACATTTGCTGCCAAACCTGATGACCAGAGTTCAATCCCCAGGACCCATATGGTGGAAGGAGAGATCCCCATTCACAAATTGCCTTCTGACTTCCACGTAGTACTTGCATGCTCACGGGTGTGTGCACGTGCGTGCGTGTGTGTGTGTGTGTGTGTGTGTGTGTGTGTGTGTGTGTGTGTGTATGCACAAATGCACAACTAAATTAAATAAACAAACAGATAAATGTAGTAAAAAACAATAAGGTGGAGAGTGATCGAGAAAGATACTTGATGTTGATGTACACATACATGCACACTCACATGCTCGCAGGTACACACACACACACACACACACACACACACACACACACACACACACTGAAAACAGTTTTAATCAGGACTTTGTAACTTGTCTTAAGACACATAGCATGAGTCCTGCCAAAAGCTAGCCTCCCCTGAAGCCATCTAGGGACAGGGTTTCATGTGAAAGTGCTTTCATCCCGAGAACTTCCTTGGAAAATTGACAAAAAGAACGGGGAAATTGTTAGGATTTTGCCGCCACTCTAGCTGCCCGGCCACACATGCGCAGTTCAGCTAAGTAAGGGGTCTTGCGTCTTACATCATCAATGTGCGCTGGTGATTACACGCTGTGGTCACGGCGTGGTTGCACAATCATCACATGCATGCATGGCATAGCTCCGTAAGCCCACCTGCGCATGTTCACGGGAATCCTTAAAAAGCCGGATACAGACTCCCCCATACACACACTTCTCTCCTACACCCACTATCTCTATCTTTCTCTCCCCCTGTTCTCTGCACGTGCTTCTTCCTCAGGCCTGGTTCTTTTGTGCCCTCCACCCCACCCAATGGGTTTTGTCGTGGCTGGTGCCTCGTGACCTTTCTGCACGGTAACCAGAGCTGCTTATCATTTTTAAAAAACAACAGAAATGAGATAAGGAAGAAAGCCTGCCAGGTAGAGACAGGATGGAGGAAAAGCCCAAACCTTAACTCTTAAGACCAACAACTCAAGAGGATGTCTTCTGATTCAAATTCCATGCTTCTACACACACACACACACACACACACACACACACACACACACACACACACACACACGGCCACCCCCCAGCTCCCAGCCTTACCACAGGCACAACCATAAAGTTGTAGGTCCTTAGCATCCAGGGGCTGCCGAGTTAAGCTGTGGCTGCCACATTCCACTGGGCCAGGGGCTCAGATGAGCTCCATGCTGTCAAGGCCGGCTGCAGAACAGCCTAGGGACAAAGGAAAGTTTGGCTTATACATTACACTTCACACAGTCACAAAGAGTTCAACTTCAAGCTTTTAAATACAGCAGAGAGAAAGTAAGATATCACTCTCCAATTTAAGATTTCCAAATATGGACTGTTTCAAAAGCATGATAAATTAATATTTTCCACCTTTCACATAATTATCTTATAATGAGCCCATTTATATTACGTGACACTTTCTTCTGTGAAGGAACATTTTTGATCTACTTTTAAGATCAATAGATTATGAATAGACTAGCAATGATTTAAATCTTAGTAGTCATATATTTCTGCTTTATTAAATTTAATTAAAATTATTTTGTTGCCAAATTTTGATGTTTCTCATCCCTCCAGTATTTTCCTAATCACAGTATTGTTGTGTAAAACTGTAGCAAAACGAGTCATTTGGTAACAAAAGTAACGTTTTATTAGATGTAAAACAAAGCAAAAATGACCCTTTTTTTAAAAAAAAAAAAAAAAAAAAGCTACAATATTTGGTAGCCTCACTGACTCCAAAGACCTGTGCTGGGTGCTGGTGTTGAAATGTGAATGAGTTCTACTTCCTCCCTTGGAGAAGTCTCTGGCCTCGAGGGCAATCAGCCTCACCTAGAGGTGAGGGTGTGGGACAGGGAGTGTGCGCCCCGGAGTTGACTGTGGGTCACGGAGTCCCTCAGGCTAGAGCAAATCTCAACTCAGCCAGCTTTAAAGAGATTAAGCATAATTATCATCCTCACCACCCAATGTACAAAAGGAAATGGAAACTGGCAGACCCTTTTTTAAGGTATGGAAGGAATGTGGTTTGGGGCACGAGGCAAGGAGCTCTGGCTGAGCAGGAGACCTCAATGGACAGAAGTGGGCTTCGCACTCAAAGGGCGAGGAAGCGAATCCTGAGCCGTGGTCTCCGGGGCTGAGGGCAGTTTCTGAACCTGGCGAAAAGCTCCCAGGGTTGGGAGGCGTGAACAGGGCGGTGGGATGGATCCTCCCTCCTAGGTATAGGAGGGAGCTCTGCCTTCAGCCCCCTTAAAGAGAATCTTCTAGAAGGGATGGCATTACCGAATGTTTTCTTTCCTTGGTGATCTTCTTCAGGGATGCTTTCCCCCTTCAGGCCCACTCCTGCACTGCATGTTGCTCTGAGAGCTGGCTGTCCTCTCATTGTCCTCCTATACAGTTCCCAGTCAGTCTCAGTCCCCTCCAGGACTTTTGGCCTGTAGGGAGACAACTGCCCCTGGATATCTATTTCCCCATAATTTGTATATAGGAATCTTACTCCTTAATGTGAAGATACCAGACAAGACAGGACTGTTGGCAAGCAATTAGATCATGAGGTGGGGGGCGGGGCGGGGGGGGGAGGCTAAGTGAGCTGCAGAGTCAAGTTAGGTGAAGAAGCAGAGGACTGAGGAAAGAGGCCCTTGTCAGACTCTGAGAAGTAAATCTCTGTTGTTTATGGGTGACCCAGTCTCTGGCGTTCTGCCACGGCAGCCAGAATGAATGGAGATGGAAGTGTTATGAAAAAGCATCAGAAGACACAAATGTGGCAGAATTCCCAAGTAAGAAGGTAAGCCCTTCCTTTTTATCCTGGTCTCAGAGTTAACCTCATTTGCCAGCCTCACTGGATTAAGAAACCCAGGACATTAATAAGGCTCACGTTGGAGCGTGTGTGTGTAAGGGCTTCTCCACAGAAAGTTGACTGAACCAGGAAGATACACCCTGTCTGTGGGTCCCATGGACTGGAGTCCCAAACTGAGCAAAAAGTGCAAGAGCAGAAGCCAGCTAGGTGTCTCCATGTCTCTTTCTCTGCTCCCTGAGCAGCCCAGATGTGAGCAAGCAGCCTCACACTTCCCCCCGCCATGGAGCCGCTTGCTCCCCTCCCTGCCCCAGCGCCGCAGACTGTATCCCCTCAAACTGTGGGTCTAAATAAGTCTTTTCTCCTTTAAGCTGCCTCTTATCAGATATTGGGTCCCCTCAATGAGAAAAGTAACTAACATACCTGGGTAGCCACTTCGAAAGTGTCAAAAGTTCCTGAATGGAAACCCAGGTCTGTGAAACAGGCTCAGTGCTCAGTTTGAAGAGTGGGTAGATGGTGCCAGCTGTTCTGGTCTGACAGACATCCACCCATACACACACGCACACGCACACACACACACACACACACACACTCACACACACACACACACACAGTTGAAGCCCCAATTCTCAGTGATCGTTTGGAGGTGTGGCCTACCGGGGATGATTAGGAAGAGATGAGGTCATAAGAAGGGACAGCCCTGCTAGGCAAATAGGGAAAGGGGCTCTAGGTATATTAAACATCTAAGATGACCCATTTCTGGTTTTGTCCCCCCTGTAACAACCACCTGGTGCCCTCCTATACTCACACACAGAGGGAACTGTGTAGTTGGACTCATCAGCCTTCCACTGAAGGGCTCCTCCGGTGGGGACCAATCATCTTCTCTGTCTCTGTCTGACTTATCGAATCCCCTGCTGTTTGGCTGGCATCTCCAGCTAGGCCCTAGTTGTCTCTCTTCAAACCCCGCCCTCTCAGAAAAGCCTTTGGGAGTCCAGTTCTGCATTCCTGGCAGAGGTGAGGCTGCTCGCTGTTCAAGACCCCGCCTACCATAATCGGGCACAAACCCGGCTTGTGGAGGAAGCATCATCATCTCGCAGGGGCCCAGCACCTACAGGGTATTTAAGCCTCCTCCTTTAGTCTAGCCATGTGGTACCTCTCCTAGTCCCTTCCCCTGCCTCATTTCTGGGGGCTGGAGAGTCACCTTTGCTTAAGTATACCCAGTCTTTACTTTATAGTTCTGCTTGATCTGATTTACTGTGTCAGCAGAGGAACCTATTAACGGGGTACAGAAAACCTATCCCCTGCAATGGTCCAAGCCAGCCGGTTCAGAGGGAGGGAGGGCACTCATCTCACTCCCAAACATAAAAACCCTAATTCTCCAAGTAGACTTGGACACCATATCTCTAGATCCCTTTCTGCCCTGGAGAATCTAACTCATTGTGTGCTTTGCAGTGGGTGCGCATGTGTGTGTGTGTGTGTGTGTGTGTGTGTGTGTGTGTGTGTGTGTTTTCACTTTCAATAAAACTTAGCTGAGAGCTGAAATCTTGCTTTTTTATTCTTTCAATTGCTGGAGGGAAAGATTCAGTCCCTGGAACCTACGTGACATCATCGTCCCAGTGGTATTGATAATAAGGAGCCCCCACAATGGTATTTAGTGTCCTTATATGTAGAGGAAGTAAGGAAGTGACATATTGTCCCCTCTCCCTCCTTTCTCCCACCCTCTTCTCTGTCCTTCCTACACGTGAGGACACCACAAAAAAAACAGCTAGTTTTCTTCAAGCCAGGAAGAGGTCCTCGTCGGAACCAAACCCGTCATTTGTTTTAGTAGCCTAATCTGCGTAAAGCACAGTTCAAAATGGCTTTTCAAATGCCTTCCTTTACTCACTCTCTGTTCCCAAACCCTTCTCTCAGGCTGTCCTTCACTTAACCTGAAATGCTGACCTCTTTTCGTCCTGGTCTCTATTCTGTGCGCCGCCATGATACAGGAGGCCACTTTATTATCCAGTTCTGAAGGAGCAAGAGCTGAGGACTAAGGTCACTCTGCAGGCTGATGGCAGGGCTTCTTGAGAGGAGTTCTCTGGTCACATAACCAGAATTGTTTGAGGTAGAAATGATTCACATTCTTGCCCTCCCTTCCCCTCTAACGGAAGTGGGGGAGACTGGGAAGAACATTGATTCAAATTCCGGGCACTTGGCTCCAGAGAGCAGAGTGGACTTGCTTTTCTTTTCAATTTAGAAATTAGCTAGTTTGCCTCTAACCCCTGCCCACTCAGCCTCTCAAAAGCATGTATTCCCCCAGAGGCAGCCTGTTGGCTCAGGGTGGCTCTCCCACACCACTGTGCACACACACCCCTCTTCTCCTCTGCTCACAGCCAAGCCCATGGCATGCTGCCCAGCTGCTGGGCAAGCCTGCTTACCCAAGAGCCTTTCAGACATCTCTTTAAATTCATTATCCAAAGGTGCAGAAATGATCATTTGGAGTCGCGATCCTATTTCTCTGTGATGTGACACTCACCCGGAGGGATTATGGGGGGAACGTGCCCATTTGACAGAGATGGTATTTCAGCGGTGTTGTCTTTCAAAGAGTTCCGTCTTTATCTCAACTATCAAATTTGTTCGAAGGGCCCTAAAAGCAGGGCAGCTATTGTGATGAAAATTTACATGCAGAGTGTAAATGTCTGCCTTGCTTGTTATTTGAAAAAAAAAGCTGTTAGCCACTGAGATCGGGTGAGTCTTGGGCCTTCTCTCAGGCCGGGGACTCAAAGGCTGGTCTTCAAACCTGGTCCCTCCCTCTTCCTTATTCAGGTTACAAAGGCTGCCGAGGAGGAAGCATGTGCCTGGGTAGGCTGAACATGGGAACTGAGGGCCCCTCAGCACCCGCTTCCCGGTGTGTTACTTTAGTACCTGGCTGGCTGGTCTCTTGGGCTGACTGTCTCTCTCCATTCACCCTTTCCAAGCCTGAAAACACATTTTGCATTTATTTTTACCGTCTTGCGGTAGGATGTTGACTCCCATGTACCCTATTTCATAAGAGATTTAGATCTATGCTGGGGAATATGAATATGTGCATATAATCTAGCCGGTACTCAGCAAACTGTGAGTCATTTTGGAGAGGGGAAGTTTTGAAGTAGCACCTTTGACAAGGAAAATGATGCCTAAATCAGACAAGGACTTCTTAAAGTCAGAGAAGGCCTGCTGGAGTGTCGGAGCATGAAACATGGGTGTAGGAAACAATGGAGGCTGTTCAGTCTTAAACACAGCCAGAGCTCACAGGAGCTTCTCCCTTAGGCATCCAGTCCCCAGAATTCATAATTATCATTTTTGCTGGCTAGTTTTATGTCAACTTGACACAAGCTAGAGTCGTTTTCAGGGAGCCTCCATCCTGAAGATGACCCCACCTGAACGGCCTGTAGCAAGCTTGTGGAATAGTTTCTTGATTGGTGACTAATATGGGAAGGCCCAGCTCACTGTGAGCAGTGCCATCCCTAGACTCATGGTCCTGGGTCCTATAAAGAAGGCGGGGTAAGCAAACCATGAGGAGCAAGCCAGTAAGCAGCACCCCTCCACGGCCACTGGGTCTGGAGCACGGTGAATGGAACTAGATTCAGTTTTAACTCTTATAAACTATGTCTGTCCTCCTCTCTTTCATGTTGCCTCTGCTCCTATAGGATCCACTAGATAGCCCTGCTCTGATGGGTCGTCTTCTAGTGTGGACTCTATGGATCCTATAGAATGAGACAGGATCCAATCCTCAAGAGTGACCACAACTTACAACAGGGAGCTGTGAACAAATACATGTACTAGTAGAGCACTACCAAACTGATTCACGGAGCATGTGGGTGTGGAACAGGGAGCCTCCAGATGGCCATGTATATGTATAATTGTGTATATCTAATCTATATCCAAGCTACAACTATATCTAGTATACCGTTAGGTCTACTGTTTGTCTATAGCTTTATCTATATTTCAAAACCTCTTTGGGTGTTTCTTATGCTTAAGGCTGAAAGGCCCATCTAGAATTGTGGGGAGCAGGGGCCATGCCCTGCTTCTTCCTGTTCTGAACCCAGACCTGGTGCTCAGTGGATCTTCACCCCACGGATAACAAATAAAGTAATTATTTCACCAGCATAGACCTGGGAAGCCCCTCCAAGGACCCAGGGTCCTGTCTTTGCATTACCCAGAACTTGATGGCGTGCAGAGTACTGGGAAGGGAACAAACCTGACAGGCCTGCCTCTAGCTTCCCAGGACATGACACTGTGTGTGCTCGGCATGCACACATGCAATGGAATGGGCTCAGTCCAACAGAGCAAGCAGCAGTCGTTGCAAGATGGGATTCCCGGAACAGAAGCGCTCCAGGAATTAGAAGCATTGCACAGAATTTGAGTTCTGCCCTTGGGAGATTATCAAAGGGTTCTTCTTCTACTCACCACCTTCTAGGTTCTCGTGTCCGATAAATATAAACTATTGAAGTTGAAGACAGAATGGTCTGGAACTCTGTGCAGAGGCTCACTGTCAGAGGAATAGCAGCAGGGAAGCTGGTAAGGCAAGGCAGAATGAGCAAAAAAGGAGGAAGCTGAGAGATGATGAGGACAGCTTGCAGGGGCCAGAGTGGGGCGCTTTTAATGTCTCATCTACAGGCTTCTCTTCCCTTCTGAGAGGACAAGACCAAGTAGAGCATCAGGGGCAGACAGGAGGAGGTAGGTCAGAGGTTGTGTGATGACCCACGAGAGACAGTGATGGCTTGGATCAGAGCAGTTACTGGGGAGAACGGAAGCCTGCCCTCCTTGTGTCTAGTAATGACAAAGAGCAAAGGCTTGTGTAGAGTTTACTGCGAGCAGTACACACGTGAAGTAATTCCAGCCCTCAGAACAGCCCCAGGAGGCAGGGGCTAGCATTTCCATCCCCACCAGGCTAATAAAGACTCTGAGACACAGAGGTATCAGATAGCCTGTCCAAAGCCATACAAACCAGCAGTATGAGAACGCACCTGCAGGTCCACACCATTAGCCACTTCGCCATGGATCTTCTCTGCCCCTCCCAGAAGTGCCAGATTTGCACAAGGTCATCTGACCAAGTCTCACATCATCTCCATGTCCCTCTTAGCCAAAACAAAGTCTGGGTTTTCGAAGAGAGAGAGAGATAAAGTGAGCTGGTGGGATGCAATTTGCATCAAGTCCACTGTCCTAGGAGTAGGTAGAACTGGTTCACAGTTCCTGCTGGTTCTGTAGGCAACAGTGAGTTATGTCAACATGGGCTTGTCACAAATGTACATATACACACAGAAGCAGGTGCACACATATAGGACACACACAGGCACATATACAAAAGCACATACACAATACACACACACACACACACACACACACACACATCCTGATGTACCTTAGAACTTTCTCTACTTTTCTCTACCAATGGCTTGGCCATGTAGACAAATCAAGTAAAAAAAAAAAACTGTGTGGTTGGTTTAGGGCTGCCAAGGAGACAGGTTTGTTGGCAAACACTGAATAGAGGGCACAGTCTATGGAATGCTGGAATTGTCACAAGCTGGTCTCGAGGTGTGTGTGTGTGTGTGTGTGTGTGTGTGTGTGTGTGTGTGTGTGTGTGTGTGTGTGCAGTGTGTAGGGAATGGGTGTTGGCAGCAGGGACTATGGCACTAGAGGGGTCAATAGCACATGAGGAAATGAATCTACACATATCAAAGACAAGAAATATGAGCACACTGATTAGGAAAACACAGAATCATTCTGGAGCTCTAGCGGAGATCATATTCCTCTTTCATGTGGAACTAAAAGAACTTAATCTTGTGTTGGCTGTGCCTGAGAACCAACCTTAGTCCCCAGGGACATAGGTAAGTGTGAAGACCAGTTGAGAAGTCCCTAGTTCCAGTCTCTAAGCCTCTCCAATACTCAGACAA